GAAACTTATATTAAGTGAATAGCTTTTATAATAAAGTAACGGTTAATTTTAACGACAATTAATGAAAATATTTAAAATTATAACATTTATACAATTATTTTATATGTATGTTAAAATTGAATATAATGTTGTTTTCGTCTTTTGCTTTCACGTTAGCCCTTTATTCTTCAAGGCATGTGCATTCTACCCTGTATAAGCAAACTGTTTATTGCAACACAAATTGTAGAGCACCAGTTTTAAATTAGTTGTAGCAACTTTTTTAGGGCAAAGTACACAAATGGTCCCTCGGCTATAGGACATTGCTTTGTTGAGTTTTCTGACTATTAAAAGTTATAAAATGGTCCCTCAACTATAGTGTATTACTTTGTTGAGTCCCCCGATTATTAACAGTTGCAAAATAGTCACCCGACTATTTACAGAAAACTCGTCCTATTCTGTTAAAAAATTGATGGCAGTCTGGCCTGGACGTTGACTCACTGATTGTGATATGATAAAATCTGATCTTAAAATCTCAAACGAGTATCATATCTTAGTTAACAAGTTAACGTACAACTTTGATCGCCGTCAATTTTTTAACGAAAAAATGACGAGTTTGGAACATATGAATAGTTAAGTGACCAATTTATGACTTTTAATAGTTGGAGGACTCAACAAAATAATCCTCTATAGTCTGGGGATCATTTTATATTTTTTAATACTCAGAGAACTCAACAAAGCAATGCTCTATAGTCTAGGGACCATTTGTATACTTTATCCTATTTTTATTAAATTTAATTCGATTGATATACTTATGATTGTAATATATAAGAAGATATTACAGTAAATATGTTAAACTTATAATATTTTTAATTTACCACTGAGAATAAGTTCGAGTAGATTAGGCATTTGTTATTTAAGTTGAGTAAACAACAATGGAGAAGTTCAAGAAGCCTTCTAAACACATAGTGGTGTTGGCCTTCCGTTTCGACACACACGCAGCCCCTCTTCTCCACATCATTCCTCGGCTACCGGAGTCTTCCCCCGGTGCAGTATTTTCTTTCCTTTGCACGGAACAATCGAACGGCTTAACTTTTTCGAAAGATCATCACGAGGAGGAGCATTAAAGCTTCAAGCCTTATAATGTACGGAATGGATTACCGGAGGGGTATGGTCATTGCTAAAAGAGGAAACCTCATGAGCAAGTGGACTATTTTCTTAAGGCATTGCCCCAGAATTTCAAAGATGCCATAGTTGCACTTGTGGAGGAAACCGTTAGGCCTATTGATTGTTTGATAACAGATGCATTTTATCATTTTGGGGCTGATATTGCAGATGAATTGAAGGTCCCTTGGGTGGCGTTTTGGACCGCTAGTCATCGGGCACTCTTCGTTCATGCCGAGACCCATTTTTTTTCTCAAGCACATAAGGATCAATGGTAAGCATTTATATATCCCATGATGCAGGTAATCATGGTGTGAACTCATAAACGTTTTGCAGATCCTCAAGACAGAGCACTTGATTTTTGTTCAAGAATTTGCTAAGATACATGTTGCAGACTTACCGAATGGAGTAGCCACCGGTAACTTCGATTACCCCATGCATGTACTGTTACATAAAATGGGACAAACACTGCCACGAGCCACCGCGGTCGCCGCGAATTCATACAAGGAATTGGACAATGCGGTGCTGAACATGCTGAAATCAAGATACACAATGTTCCTCAACGTCGGCCCGTCCAATCTGATATCTTCTCCCCCCCTACAACGACACGCGCGGCTACTTGGATAATTGATGGTCACAAAATATATTTTTATTGTCAAACAAATTCATCAAAATTTATATTGATAATTGTGTTGAATAGATGGTCACAAAAAATGAACAATTGTGATAATATTTAGAAGGTTTAATGTAAAAATAAGTGTCCAATGTATGCCTCGAAAAATATTTTAGTGCGTAAAGAATTTTTCGCTAAAAATAGGTATATAACTTTTTTCAGTTATATTTTTAGGTAACTACCGTTATATTTTTAAATTTTTTAATAACAAAAATATTGTTTTTAAAAAGGAAAAAATAAAAAAGCTTAATTTATTTATAAAAAACCTAATTTTTTTTATTGAAATTATAAAAAAACCTAAAAACTAAAATTTCTCATTTCAACTCATTACCAACCATTGTCGACCATCATCTTCATTGTCGAACGGTTGGGTTTTGGTCAAAAGTGTACGGTGGTTCGAATGGTGGTGACGGTGTCGTAGAATCGGTCGGAATCGAAAAAGAACAACGATGGTGGCTTAAAAATCTGATGAACCTTTGAACGCTTCTCCATGACAAACAATGATAGATTACGATGAAAGAACGATGAGGGTTTGATCGAGACTCAACACTAGTGTTAATGACGGTAGCAGTGAAAGTCATGGTTGACTAACAAGCGCTATGGAAGATGGAAGAGGAAAGGGTAAAGGAAAGGGTAGAGAAGGGAGACACGGGAAGCTATTTGGTTTTTTTTAATAAAAAATATTTTTTATTTTTAAATATTTTTAAATAAATTCTCAAAATTACCAGAATGTGACACGTATCACTTAACAGAGATTTTTAACGGTGGCTAACGTCCATGCACCTAAAAATGTAACGTTGGAAACATTAGACACCTATTTTTGACGAAAATTTTTATATGCAATAAAACGTTTTCCGGTGGATAGTTTAGGCAATTTTTGTTTTAAGCCTGGTTAAAATAACTGTCACTGATATAATATTGATGAAGTTATTAGTGACGACTTAAAAATTTTATCACTATGTATTTTAGTGTCTAAATTTAATGCTTTTAGTGTTTATTTGCATTGTCACTAAATGTGAATTTCTTTGAAGTGTTAATCATTTCTATATATTTTGCATTCAACATAACATATAATGAATACATTATTTTGGATCAATTAAAAAATTAAAATAAATAATATTTTTGTGTCGTCTTTTTTTTTTCTCTTTGATTTTTGTTTAGCTGACAGCAACACCAATCTTAATATTGGTTATTGATCGCCGATAACTAATAGTTCTCTTGTTTTTTTATATAATGTCTTTTAGTTTTTTTGCTTGAGTCTTTTTTAATTTTGAATAAGATTTTTTGTCCGTGTGACATTATTTTTCTCTGTTCTTATGCAACGATCATCATGGGTTTGGTACGTTTTTCGCATACCTTTACGGGTCGTTTTGGTTCTCGCACAAAACCATCATAACATTTATTTTTTTATTGGTTAGTCGGTGGTCACCTATAGTTAAATCCCCTCTTTACGTAAAAGGTTATTTGCCGATATAATCAGATTGTTTAGCGAAACAGTCTGCCAGATTATTTGGTTTGCTCTCCGTTTCTTTATCACTTTGTCAAGTTTTTCATTCGATAGAGACAATGAGTTTTTTTAAGGTTACTGGGTTTTGATGTTGGTCGTCATTCAAAATGATGGACGCAAGAATTTAAGTTAGGGGACGAACTTGAACTTATAAAATTTTAGTGGGGCGAAAACACATTTTAAATAAAAAATACATAGAAAATTTCTAAAATATATGGTAATTTATATTTTTAAAGGGGCAACCGCCCCCGTCTAGGTCCATCCCTAGTCATTCTCATTGGAATGTTTTATTTTTTCGTATATTTAGTTTTAATTGTTTCTTTTGTATGAGTATTTTGGTGACTTCTCTAAATTTCTTTCTATATTTTGATGTGTTGTAATGTTGATTCCTTTCGTTATTAATAAAATCCAGTTGCCATTGTTAAAAAAAATTAAAATAGATAATTGGATCGAAAATTGAAGTTCTAACAAAATTTTAAAACATTGATTATCACATCTAATATTTAGTTTTTTTGAAGGGCTATTGAGAAAGTTAAAAATGAAGATTTATTTGAAAAATGAGTGAATTTGTTTTAAGTGTAAGGTTTTTTCCTCAAAGTAATTTTTGATCAAATTAGAAGTATATTTCTATTTCCCACTTATTTATTACAATATTTTTATCTAATAAATATGTGACACGTAACATGCATTTATTTTATCTTTTTCTCCTTCGATATTTTTTGAAAAAATAAACATAAATTTTGAAATCTAATTCACTCTCACAAAATCTTAACCACTTCAATTTTGAGAACTCATGTACTTTCTATGTATCAATTTTAATTTATGTCTCTTCATTTTATTTTTATTTTTACAATAAAAAATTTCAAATCATAAAATTTAGTTCAAAAACATTTTAATTGTGAAAACAAAGAGAAATGAAAATTACAACTCTTAAAATTAGTCTTAAAATATTTTAATTCTACTTATAATAATAACGAGTTGAATAAAAATATATTTGTAATATTTTAAATGTGTTAGGATCCATTTACACCTTATAAAATTAATAAATTTTACATCAATATATAGTCATTATATGTAAATAAATAAATTAGATTTAATTAAAATTTATAACCCATAAATAAATATTTTTTAACTTACAATAAACATTTTTTTCTTTCTAAGGTTACTGTTTATGATTTAGAGTTTAAGATTTAAGTTTTAAGGTTTAAGGTATGAGTTTTAAGGTTTGAGATGTTGGGTTTAGGATTTAAGATTTGGGATTGAGGTGAAAAGATATATTGTTTTAATGTGAGTTAAAAGATATTTGTTTATCTCAATGAGTGTCGGCACAAATGGTTGTGATTTATTAATTTAAGCTTGTAATGTCAAGTTCGAATTCTATCATCGTCACTCTTGGTGTACAATATGCAAATTCCTATGAAATGGGTTTTAGGTATGCTTTTATCTGGAATTGGAGGAGTCACCCTTGATTTAAATTTTATTGTAAATAAATATTTATTTATGTGTTATAAATTTTAATTAAATTACCGAGATATTCTAAAAATAATTATAGAATAAAATCTAAAATACGACCAAAAAAATCCAGACATCTAAAACACAAAAGAGGAATAAATTAGACACACACCGACTAGTTTTTATTCTTTCTTAATTCTAATGATACCGCTCCTTTAATTTAAGCTCAAGCCGTGAGTGAAGCTCTTTACTGTGTTTTCTTTCACGGCTGGTCTGGCTTCCACATTTATGTAAAGAAGGTTTATGTGGGGCTTTTGGGATTCTTTTAGTTTTTCACATTTAAGTTTGATATTCTCTCCACTGCATTATTAGTTTTGTCTCACTTGGGGTTTTGTTCTTCCTTTTTCTGCACCTTGGATCAGGTACTTCCTTCTCTTGATTTCTTCATCTGGGGTAGCTTTATTTTAAATTATTATTTGGAGTTTGCTTCTGGGTAGTTTTAAAAATGCGATTTTTGCCATCTGGGGTTAGAGTTTTCTTGCACTGTTGTGTTGTCATTCATCTACTTTGATGGAACTAGAGACATCTATCTGGTTCTTTGGATTTCTTATAATTATCGAAATCATTTGTTCTCTTTAAGCTAAACTATGTATTTTTTTTAAAGAATTTCCCCATTCTAATTGATATTTTGTACTGTTCTTATCCACTTCCAACTGAGGGTGTTCTCTTATTCAGTTAAACGACTTATATGGAGTAGGGTGAGCAAAACTCGAATAGACTCAAAAAACTCAGCTCGAATTGACTTTCGAGTTGTGATATCATATACTCGGCTCGAATTTTTTTTTAAGTAAATTGGTTTTTAAGTTAGAGTTGAGAACATATGAAAAAATTGTGAAGAAATAATATTTATTGTATACGGTTATAAAAAACTATTTAAATAAGAATCAAATAGTATCCTAATATTATAAATATTTACAATTAAATTTACACGGAAACTCAAAAACTCATCTCGAATCGAAAAAATTTCAAATAAAATTTGATTTATAAAATATGATTCATCAACTCAAATAATTTGAATTTTTTTTACTTGACCTGACTCAATCGAACGTTGACCCCTAATTTGGAGGTGATTAATTCATTTTGGACGCAATAAATGTTGCTACTGAAATTTCTGCTTGACGTAGTGTCAATTGCTGCTTCACGGAATAGTTAATGCATTTGATGATTGTTATGCAATGTCATGTTTATTTATCTGGGTTAAAATGTCTACCGAGTCTTCCACTTTAAGCTTTTAGGAGCAAACTGATTTCTCTAATACAAGTTTTGAGAATGAAAAAAAAAATCCTGACTTGTCATGTTTGAAAGCTATGTAGGAAAAAAGTGAGCAACTAAATCATTGTTGTGTTTTAAAAAAAGAATTGAACTTTGGTTTTTCCTTTTGGTCACGATACTTTAAAGCACGACAAGTTAGCACTTGATGTTCAAGTTTATTGACGTTTAAAATTTTAGTTCTTATATTCAGAGTTGAATGTAGAGGGACTTATTTGCTCATTTTTATGGTAAAGGGATTAATTTGCTCTTCAGTCTATAGGTTAGAGATCTGCCTTGTAGTTTTACCATTTATTTATTAGGAGTCAAAAGAGTTCCACATCTGCTTTTTCCTGTCCAGTAATACGTGAATGTAGATTTGTAGTAATGTGCTTTAAAAGGTTGCATGCAGCATTATCCTCGTATAGATGAATTAGGTGTCATCTACCTGGTTAGTATGTGTAACACTATCCTCGTGTAGATGAATACGAAATTTTACTTTGCCTAACTTACGAAACATTTACCTTGCACCAAAGTTGCACACTTTCCGTATTAGTTTTTGAAGCCCGAGGCTATTATTTTGAACAGAGTTTTATTATGCAGTTAAGAATTTCTAGGGATTTATGAGCTGTTTATTTTGTCTTTTATCCCTTTAATTTTTCTGACTTAGCTGAATTAAACTCTGTGACTCTGCTTTTGTTTGCAGAACATTTAACATCTACGTGCATCTGAGAGCAAATTGCAGTAGACTGCCTTTTTAGATTGAAGATTTTTAACGACCAGATGAGTCTTGAAAGATGTCTTGGATGCATGCTTCTGGTTCTAGTTGGCATGTTTTCCAATGTTCAAGGTAATTTAGAAAATTTGTCTAGAGTCTCTTCTTTTTCTGTCAGTTTCTGTTCGGAATGTTGAATCTACGCAGGTTCAAGCATCAGCTGTAAAAATGATAATCAATGTAATTGACATTTTTTGTGTTTTTGAGATTTTGTTCCGATTTTACTTAGCCTAATCGTAATCATTGTTTGAACTTCTAATGGTTGCAATACTGTTCCTGAATGTCATTGAAAGTTGAAACAAAACTAGTTATATTTCCGGGTAATAAGTACTTTAAATTGCTAGGTCATGTAGTAGCGTTTCTTGTAGATTTTTTCTGACTAGATTCTTCATTATAGGTGCATTTGTTGGGGTAAACATAGGCACAGATGTTTCTAGCATGCCATCAGCTTCAGATGTGGTTGCTATTGTCAAAGCCCATCAAATCACTCATATACGGCTTTATGATGCCGACTCTCACATGCTGAAAGCCCTGGCTGGTAGTCGGATTGAAGTTACAGTCAGCGTGACAAATGAGGAAGTCCTAGGAATCGGAGAATCCGGATCAGCTGCCGCCGCATGGATCAACAAAAATGTTGCTTCTTACGTGCCCTCCACCAACATTACAGCCATTGCTGTTGGCAGTGAGGTTCTTACCTCAGTCGCTCATGCTGCCCCAGTATTAGTTATCGCTATGAATAACCTGCACAAGGCTCTTGTGGCTGCTGATCTCAATTTTCAGGTTAAAGTTTCGACCCCACAATCCATGGACATCATCCCCAAGCCTTTTCCCCCGTCTACTGCTACCTTTAATTCCTCATGGAACTCTACAGTATACCAGCTTCTACAGTTTTTGAAGAACACCAACTCCTTTTACATGTTAAATGCCTATCCATATTATGGTTACTCAAATGGAAAAGGCATTTTTCCAATTGATTATGCTCTTTTCAAACCTCTCCCCGCTGTCAAACAAATTGTTGACCCGAACACTTTGTTCCACTATAACAGCATGTTTGATGCAATGGTTGATGCAACCTATTATTCTATGGATGCTCTCAATTTTTCTGCTATCCCTATCATTGTCACAGAAACAGGATGGCCTTGGCAAGGTGGATCCAACGAACCTGATGCCACAGTGGAAAACGCCGAGACCTTCATTAATAATTTGATCAGGCGAGTTTCCAATAATTCAGGCCCACCTAGTCAACCAACCATTCCTATCAACACATACATTTATGAATTGTTTAATGAAGACAAGAGACCGGGGCCTGTCTCTGAGAAAAACTGGGGGTTGCTTTTTAAGAATGGGAGCGCTGTTTTTCCTCTGAGTTTAAGTGGTTCGAGTCAGATCACAGGAAATTCTACTACAGTTTTCTGTGTGGCAAAAGATGATGCTAGTGAAGATAAGTTGCAAGATGGGCTTAACTGGGCATGTGGGCAAGGCAAGGCCAATTGCAGCGCTATACAATCCGGGAAGCCGTGCTATCTCCCGAATAACATCAAGAACCATGCATCTTATGCTTACAATGATTATTATCAAAAAATGCATACTGTTGGCGGGACATGTGATTTTGATGGGACAGCCACAACTACTACTAATGATCCAAGTAAGTTTGCATAAGTTTCCTTATCATGTTGATCTTATTGATTTTATCTGCAGTATTTATTTTTAAAATGCTCGAGTAGAATATAAACTTTCGGTACTGTTAATAATTTTTTGCTAGCAGGCTTATTTGATGCAATTTCAAGATCTGGGTTTTCTTTGAAAAGAACTTGATGGTTTTTAATAGTTTCCTTTTCGATCTAGGCTTTTGTATGGGAATCGTTTTATGGAAAGAAACGTACCTCTTTGGAGCTACAAAGCTAAATTTTCATAATCTTGACATTGCTATTAAAGTATGGATTCTTTAAAGTGATTGTATGCGCTATGTTTCTAGTTGTTAAATTGTGGATCTTCTTGTTAGTATTTGTAATTGTAATTCAATGATAAGCATGGAGAACGATATTTCTATGTTGTCTTGTTTTGCTGATGACTTGTGTTCAAAGCTTCACATCCAGGCTCCTAAAATATTATTGAGAAAATTTAAAAAAAAAATTAGCATGCTTTTGTCTAATTGCTTGTTAAACCTTTTTTAGTTAATATATTTAGCAAGAATTCCCTGTTCTACTGTTTTTATTTTCTTGGTTTTATGGAACAGTATCATAGATTGAAGCTGAACTTTCTACCAACTAAGCCGATTTGCTCGAGGACATCAGCCATTTGCTATTGTTGCATTTGGCATGTTTACAGTTTTATCAAGACTAATTTCAGATCCATGGATGTACATTGCCTGTGCGTTATCCTACCTGATGTTTATTTTGTTTAATTGGATAAATATACATTATAGGGGGAATCATAGTTCGAACTGTATGCATGCGTCAGTGAATTGTTATCTACGCGTTTCTATTGTGCTGATTGTCTTTCAAGTATTTTTCTCTATGAAAGATAAACGTTGCCCCCACTTTTATTTATCCTCGAATACTAGCGTCCGACATTTTCGAACACGGGTATAGAGTTACCGTCTTCCAAGAACCCTCCAAATACATGAAAAACATAGAAAATATCGAACACGCTCATTTAGATACATATCCTACACACACTCATGAGCCCAAGTAACATAGACCAAGATTGTTTCCTATCAAGTGTTGTTTATCCAAAAATATATATATATATATATATATAAATGCTCTAATTCTTTTCTACAAGCCCTACCATTTGCTAATTACTGTTTCGGTGGATAATTTGTACAGGTTATGGGACCTGTATTTTTACAGGAAGGTGAGATTCTAATGCTTTTACAGTGTGATTCGTATTAATAGTGTTTTAATTTAAGGCCATGACACGTTGATTTTGCTTGAAATAGTTCTAATTCGAGCACGAGAGGAGGGACTTTGGCCCCTGCAGCATCCGGTCCTATAAGTGCCGGAGGGAGTAGAAAGCTTCCGGTGTCCAAGGTTCAATTTCTAATCTCAGCAGCATGTCTTGTTGTAGTGTTGCTATAATGGACTTAAACATTTGATAAGCAAGATGAAGTCATGTAATGAAGCTAAATGACGGATGACTGATGGTTGTTTTAATTTTTCATCCTCGCCATTTTGATTCCAATGTTAAGTTAGTTGATCAGTTCTGTTGTGGAATCTTATTACTTGGATTTCTTTTGCGATCAGCGCTTGGTTTTAATTTCACATTATTAAGAATCATATATTATTTGTGTTTAGTTGCTCTATTGTTTTAGGGGGTGCTTATCGAGCGTGTAGAGCTTAATAGTGTTTTACCCGCTTGAAAATTATTTGATTTGTGCTCGACTCATACTTGATAAGCTTGATAATTTTTTTCTCGATCTGTGTTCGTTAAAAAAACTCGTTGTTCGACTCGACTCGTTGCTCGTTAGAATTTTTGTCTTGTTTTTTTATAAATACATATAAAATTTAGTAATACAACATAGAACTTAATATAAAGATAAGCTAACAAATTTAATAAGAATGATTAAAATAATTGTGAAGTAATTTTAGAATCTGAAAGTAACAACTTATTAATCAAACAAACGTATTGCAATTGTTAACAATATATATTTAAGTTTTTCCTGGAAAGAAAAAGAAGTTTAATAATACATAATCAATTTTTAAAGTAGGGTCATCAAAATCTTAAAAATTATGAAAGTAATTAATGAGCTATTCACAAACTAATGGAGTTAAATTAGACATTGTATAATTCAACTAGTTAAAGGTCTGGAGTCTAGTTGACTTGAATCAAATGTCGATTAAATTCTAATCCAATCAAGCTTGAATTAGTCATGAGTTTTTCAACTCAGTTATCATCTTCTTTTGCCAAATTTTCTCTGGAAAACAATAAATCGAATCAACCAAAGCATCTAAGAGATTTTGGCAATGATACCGACATTGTAATAGAACAAGGCAAAGTCAACAACTTTGTAATTAAGAAACAGGTGATATTGAGTACATATTTTGACCACCTCGTATGTATTCGAAACAACATTCTCAGCACTTAACGGTAAAATTACAGCACGACTAAGATTTTTGAGATCAGCTCCATTCAACCAAGAATTGAAGACTGTAAAAGTAAATGACTTCCAGAGAATCACCTGCTGTCCTTTAAAAATATGATCTCAAATTATATGTAATTTCCAGTATCTGACAAACAAAGCTCAACAGATCAGCTGAGTCACAAGGATTGACAAGTCATCGATACCGAAAACGCTAAGTAGGAATCGTACCTCAGATGCATTTCGGGGAATCTAAGCTGGAAAAATGGCCAGCACACGGCTCAGTTTCGAGCATTCTCATACATATATTCCTAATCCAAGCTCTTTTGGATTTGTTTCCACCATCCAGGGTGGCCTATGGATCAAAACAATCAGTTAGAGAAAGAGTGTGAATGAAAGATAGATAAGGATTTAACTTCTTCAACATACTTGTTCATCACGAAGGCTATCGTTCCTTGTGCAGCACGCTTCGGCAGATCTTCTCTAGCCTCAACTGCAATTCCTTCAGGCTGTATAAAGATTTTGAAGTAAGATTTATAGTAACATTCAAATATAAAGTTTGTCTATAATTATATTAATGGGAGTATATTTGTGTTCGACCCATATCCGTCAAAAAAACCCGACAATTGAGCATATTGTGCCAGGAACATAACCGTTGAATCCGACACTCACCCCGAGTCTAGATAACACAAGTATTTAGTTGTTTTTCGTACCTCTTCTGGAAACCAAACACCAGCTTGTGTGCTACCCTCAAGAATTGCTACTGCAAAAGCAGCTGTGGAGTTTCCCACTGCCCTGAAATACATGGAATTCGATATACGTCATATCTATTTTGGTAGCTTCAAACAAAGGTATTTTGAGATTGTATTAGACTTAATGTCTTCTACAGATTACATATTGTGGGGATTTTAAGGGAAGGCTTTATGAACAATGAGACTTTAGTTAACATACACGGAGAGTCTCCTGTGACTAAACAGGGCAAGTGTACTCCTCTCATTTGTGCATTCCAAATCAACCTATAGAAAAATTAACATAATATTATATATTGTCAAGTAGTATAAAGCCACTATCGGAATACAAGTCATTACAGTTTGCTCGTTCGGTTCAGCATCATACCCTCATTGACACTCGCTCACCTGAAATTCTGTCAACTGCTCGCACTAGTGGATCAAACCATTCAACCAACTGTTGGACTTTGCTTCTGTCTCTCAGAAATTCCTGCAACATTTACTTTATAACACAATGGAATGGACTTGTTTAAAGGAGATAAAAACATAGCTACTAAATTCAGACTTTGTTGAGCAGATCAGACATGCCAGTAATTTCCTGGTGAACATTAGCTAAGTTACCATTTTCTCATAATTTAAGGTGTGATTGGGACCTGAGTTCTTATTGCTGATATTCATTAAACTCATAATATAAGAACATACTGAAGGAAGAAGATTTGTCATGGCTTCCATTCCCCAAATCCAGAAGAATGGCGCAGTTCCAAATCGAGCACTGACAGTTGGTACTTCGAGGACCTCATGAACACTCTGAACCTCAGGTAAGTTCCTGAAAATTTGCTTCAATGAGAATTGTTTTAATGGAGAGAAGGTTGCTATACTCGAAGATATGAATTGCCTAGAATATGTTATTTGAAACTCAACATATTGAATGCCTGCATTTTTCAGAGAATCTCGAGATGTCCTTAGAGTGGAAATGACTAATTCAATGAAATGATGATTTAGATTTATGCAAGAAAGTTCTACTGAAGTAGGAAGACAAGAATACTTCATTAAAAGTACTTACAACAAATAAACATCTCTCTTTCCGATGCCTTTTCCGAAGTCCACATTGAGCATTCCAGTATAGGGTTTTAATTTGATTTTTTGTCCTGATAAAAAAAATTACTTAAATCATGTTATACATCCTATAGAAAAAGGGTAAGAACTTCAAACCAAGTAAAACAGGCTAAAATGATGTAAAATTTTCGCAATACTCACCTTTATTATATGCAACAACTTCCTTTCCAAGCAGTAAAAACCTAGTTGCTCATATAGTTGGCCCTGCGCCTCCGCTGCCTGCCGTGTAGTATGAGAATCTGAGAATGCACATTCACTCATTCAAACAAGGAAGTATCTGGAAATTGGTTTTCCAGACGAATTACTCTTGGACTTAATGTAAGTGTTAACCAGGTGTAATTACCTTAATCTTTCTGGCTCTCCCTTGTTTTCTCTTCTTGCGGCACGAACTAGCTCTGCTGCCATCACTGTCATATGAAGACCAGTATTATCTCTGGGATTAAGATAGAAGCAATGCAATGAGGATTTAACTAGTCACGAGCTAATTAGTCCTAACCGAGACATTGAAAAACTTTGAAAAATTTGACCATACCTGTATCCAAGACTCGCATCTGAGTTCGAATAACATAATCTATAGTTATCGATCAGAAAGTTACTAAAACGATGTTCACATTTACGAGTAATAGTATAAGAATAACATCTCTAGGTCTAGCATCAAACCACAAAACACTTTAATTTAACAAAAAAAAAGTCCATTTATATTTGTACATGGTTCCTTTACAATCATTGGTTCTTCATTTCATTATAATCTTACACAGCTTGAACACACCCACAAATTTTCTGCAATTAAGCTGTGGAACATATAAAAGAATTTTCATATCATTGCTCACTCCAGGATAGATTCCTCCAGTAGTTATGGCTGGAATATTTGCACCGACTGCTCTGTCCTTTAACGATTTTGCACGGAACACGGAGCTCGTATCATCACAAATGTCAAGATATGCAGTCTGTTATAAGAAACAAGAACAATTCCTAAGTTATCTGATCCGCCTTATACTAAACCATACAAAAGAACGTTATGTGAATCACATGAAAAAGAATGCATGACACTGAAATTAAGAAGAAATTCATGCATAACAATTACCTTTGCCTCACCTGGGTCTCTATGGCTGCTTCCAAGACAGTACACTTCTGAGCCTGTTGAAAAGGTCCTGCAGCATGAACTACAAGATCCACATCTGGAGAAGAAACATATGATACAATTCTCATTATGTTTTTGAATTCGGTACAACTATAACAAGTCCGATTTCATGGGAACGAGTCGCAGATACTATTAGCTGTTCTGTTCTTCTTTCCAAGGGCATGAAGGAGTAACACATGTATTTTGTTCACCGATACAACATGCAGGAATGACATGGATGCATAAGAAAATATAAATAGTGTCATAAAGAGGCTTCACCACTTAAAGCTGCTCCCAGTGAATCTTTCTTGTTAATGTCGACTTCGGCAAACTCGAAATTCTTTCCTAGCGTAGCCACCATGGAAGCACCTTTTTCCCTATGCATTACGTTATTCAGACACTCAACTCAACCACTTAAGGAAATTGAGGAATTACATAACAGAAGAGAGGGAAATGACAAAGAAGTGTAACTTTTTGTTCCTATTTCTTTTGAAGGAAAGAAGAAATGTAGACAATTGAGAGCATTGTCAGGGATGGATTGAGGGAACGGTCTCCTCCCTAAAAATTTCAAAGTCCTATATATTTAGATGTTTTCTTTATATTTTCTATTGAAAATAAATTTTATAAGTTTGTCTACCCTATAACATAAAATCGTGTGTCCTTCCCTAAACATAGGAAAATAGTGGAGCAATTATATAACCAGATTTAGTTTAATGTATTATAAAGAGAAAAAGAAAAAATAATTGCATAAATTAGTTTTTAAAAAATATTAAAATTTTGAATCTTCTTAAATTTTTAGATCCGTCCTTGTATGAGAATAGTACGAATTTTACCAAGACCAATTAGCCTGCTAAAATTTTAGTGTGAATTATTAATTATCAGGTTCTATCCGTCTGGTGTTTTTAGTTGTAAAAGAAATGTCGTTTTCTACTCGGTTCAAACAATTAACACGATTATGAGCATATACTATCATACAATCAACCCAAATTATTCAATATATATATATATATTAATAAGGTCAAATTGTTAAAAAATCGTATATCAATCAGGTCAATTATAATCCAAAATCCCAGAATATACAATTAAA